CCGGCTGCGTGCCCGCCTCCTCCTGCCAGCCCAGCTGCTGCCGCCCGGCCTCCTCTGTGTCCCTGCTCTGCCGGCCCGCATGCTCCCGCCCTGCTTGCTGCCTCCCAACCTTGGCCCCGGAGCCCTGTTGCTGACCTGGCACATTGCCAACTCCTTCCAGGGCCAATGCTGACTTTCACCTGAAACTTCTGTAGCCTTGAGCCCAGTCTGGGGTCTCCTTCTGCCCCAGAATTTCCTGTTAGCAGCCTGGGCTGGCTCCTGGTTCCCTCCAGGCCCTGAGATTCAGCCAGCATCCTGCTCTCCATCCTTGTTGGTCATGATTTTGTCCTGACCTAGGTGAGGGGTCTGCCTGTTAACAAATAAAGTCACCGTCATGCCATCTCTGTGCCTGGAGTGCATATCTGGTCAAACCCTGGGAAAGACCTTTGTTGTGGACAGTGGGCTGGGCTGGGTTAGAAACCTGGCCTTGAGCTGCGTCCAGGACAGTAACATCATCAGGCTCGGCTCCCCACGCCCTGCTCCTCACTGCCTGGGTGTCCTGTGGCCATAGATCTACTGCAGCCTCCAGTCCAGAGCATCCTGCTCACCTGTAGACCCTGCATGAAGTGAGTGATGGAGGGGAGTGAGGCAGATGTTCAAGCCCCAGGCTTGCACACTGGGAACACGGGGCCTCACTAGGGACAAAGGAGACCCCATTTAATAAACATCTGCCTTGAATATGTAAAACTTACCAAAGAATTGATGCTTTTGAACTGTGGTGTTGGAAAAGACTCTTGAGAGTCCCTTGGATACCAAGGTGAAGCCTGAATATTCATTGGAAGGACTGATGCTAAAGCTGAAGCTCCAATTCTTTGGCCACCTGAGGCGAAGATCTCAGTCATTAGAAAAGACTCTAATGTTGGGAAAGATTCACGGCAAAAGAAGAAGCGGGTGGCAGAGGGTGAGATGCTTAGATCACATCATCGACTCAGTGGGTGTGAATACGAGCAAACTCTGGGAGATAGTGGATGACAGAGGAGCCTGGCATGCTGCAGTCCATAGGGTCACAAAGAATTGGACTTCACTTACTGATTGACCACCAACAACAATCCAAAGCTTAGCGTCTCAATACACCTGATAATGATGAAGTATCAGAACCTCATCAGGGTCACTGCCTGGGAAGGATCAGACTGTGTGTGACCAACTGAACCCATCGCTCTGACTGTTTAGACTTTTCTTCCTCTTCTTCTCACCTACACCTGCCCAATTCCCCACGTGCTCCTGTATGTTTCCTCACTTGGGCCTTTGTCTTCTTTCTTTCTGGTTTTTCTTTTTAAGATTTTTTTTTAACCTGGACCATTTTTAAAGTCTTTATTGAATTTGTTCCCACGTTGCTTCTTTTTTATGATTTGGTTTTTCTGGCCAAAGGGCGTGTGGGGTCTTGGCTCCCTGACCAGCGACTGAACCCACACCCCATGCACTGGAAGATGGATCCTTAACCCCTGAACCTCCAGGGGAGGCCCCTCATTTGTCTTGTCTCTTTAAATGTTTCTCCAAGAGGGAAACACGCGTAGAGTGTTTTCCAAGCTCTTGTTTATGTGAAAATACACTGTCGTTCTCTTTACTTGAGAATGATATAATGGGCTTCTGAGGTGGCACTAGCGGTAAAGAGTTGGCCTGCCAACGCAGGAGAAAGATGTAATAATTTGAAAATAGGAAACGTCAGCTTCAGTCCCCAGTGTTTCCCTTGAAGCTCTGTGCCTTTCACTGTTTGGTGGGAAAGGTCAGGGGTCCGCCCAGTAATAGTTCATCTCCAGCCCAGACTGTAGGCCAATTTTTCCTGCCTGGAGATGGAGCTCCCTTCATTCAATTCATTTAAAAACTGCCAATTTGGAAAACTCAGCAGTGGCCACAGGACTGGAAAAGGTCAGTTTCCATTCCAGTCCCTAAGAAAGGCAATCCCAAAGAATGCTCCAACTACCACACAATTGCACTCATCTCACACACTAGCAAAGTAATGCTCAAAATTCTCCAAGCCAGGCTTCAACACTACGTGAACTGTGAACTACCAGATGTTCAAGCTGGTTTTAGAAAAGGCAGAGGAACCAGAGATCAAATTGCAAACATCTGCTGGATCATCAAAAAAGCAAGAGACTTTCAGAAAAACATCTATTTCTGCTTTATTGACTATACCAAAGTCTTCGACTGTGTAGATCACAATAGTAACAAGTTATAGGGGTATCCATGATAAACTCTAGTCCAAGGGCTGGGAAATGTAGGACTGGGTATTCTCATATGTCACCTAATGGTAGACATATAACAGTGGCACCTGGTAGTTAAGAGAACTCCAATATTTATGCACACTTTTGACCCCATTCAACTCACTGGAACACTTTCTTACCAGGATATAAAGAATTCTCACAGCCTATGGTGGGCTTAAGGCCTTGTGTGAGTCTCTTGAGTCTCTGTTGCAGACTCAAGGCCCTCATGCACACCCCCAGATTTCCATAATACTCCACGCTCCAGGCGTGGGGGAAGAGATGAGTCCTTTTAGTGACACATGGAATGGCGGGTGTGCAGCCCCACTGTCTGGACAGCTGCAGAGCGGATGCACGGATCATGGGGGACTGACGCACTGCAAGGGGCTGGATCTCCTGCACCCCTTCCGTCCTCCGGCTCTAAGTAGACTAGTTAGACACTTGAGCCTGGTGTGCACATTGTCTGTTTGCAGTGACCTTAAACTGTGCGCTGGTCTCTTCCTTGTATGGCACTTACCTGCCTTTAACCTTGGGTCCCTGCACAGCCTGGCCACCCAGTGAATGGTGAAACCCTCTCAGTGGATTGATTAGTTATGGTCTAGACTTAAATTTTCTGCTTAGCAGAGCATGTTAATGGGAGGATCATGGGTGATTTGTCTTTAAATATTGACATTTAATGATTATTTAGACTCATAATTCTAATAGCACACTTACAGAAATAGATGAAAATGACAAAATGGAAAAAAAAAAGTATAAATATACAATTCTAAACTTCCCAGACTAATTATACTTTTTTCATGAGGTAAAACTCATTTTTAAACCAATGCTCTATGTGTGTGGGTTTTTTCATTTTTTTTAAGTCCATAATAAATTTGCCTAGAGCAATGTTCTCAATCCTGGATAGGGAGTTCATATCAGAATTACCTAAAAAACTTCCTAAGTTTAAAATTATATCCTTTTCCCCATCCTGAAGGTGTATCAAAATTTTACATGGTAGGTGGGGGAACGGGTTGCAGATGTAAAAAGAGCCTAGACTAAGGCATCAGACTATTGAAATTTAGGTTGAAGACATTCTTTGGATGATTCTCGTAACCTTCATCTTCATCCTCACCCTCATTCCCACCCATAGAAATGACTAGTCTAAAAGAAGTCAAAGTCCCAAATTTTAACCTTTAGTCAACATAGGAGAAAATCTGTGGAGATTTTAGACGGAGTGCTAAGAGGGCAGTAAGGGGATCTACCCAAGTCATAGTTCCAAGTCCAGTTTCAGTAACTACTGACCACATCATCTCAGACAAGCTCTTTATGCATCTTTAGCTTCATATCCTTCAGCTTTAAATCAATTGTTTTGAATTTAAGGATATCTAATATGACAAGGGATAACTTATCATTTTTTTCACCAATCACAATGATATCAAGTAAGTTTCATAAAATAATCACTATAAAACTTGGTGAGCTCTTCAGAACAAAAATGAAAATAATATAAAGGACTTTCTACAAAAGAATTTAGAACTATCTTAAATGATAAATAATTGTGAGAAAAAATTATGTAAAGGTTAAGCAAAACTTAGTGACATTAAATAATTTAAGTGAGATAAACACCTGGGACTCAAAGCTATGATTCTGTTTATTAATAAGCCTTAGATTATCTCTGAAATCTGAGGATGTGATTACAACAGGACTGCCCTGATTCACATGACAGTCTCTTCATTTTTTTAACCTTTAACTAACCAGCTTTCACTATTTCATGCAAAAGAGAACAAAGATTTCATCAATAATATAGAATCTTAATTTTAGCTGATAGTTCTAAACTTCACTCAAAATGTATTGCCTGAACTGATAAAAAGTATAAGACTGAACTGTTCCTTCTTCTCTGTTCAAAACACTAATAAGACATAAGAGTGCAATANTTGATGCTATTGAACTGTGGTGTTGGAGAAGACTCTTGAGAGTCCCTTGGACTGCAAGGAGATCCAACCAGTCCATCCTAAAGGAAATCAGTCCTGAATGTTCATCAAAGGACTGATGCTGAAGCTGAAACTCCAATCCTTTGGCCACCTGATGCGAAGAGCTGACTCATTTGAGAAGACCCTGATGCTGGGAAAGATTGAAGGCGGGAGGAGAAGGGGACGACAGAGGATGAGATGGTTGGTTGGCATCTCTGACTCAATGGACTTGAGTTTGAGTAAACTCCAGGAGTTAGTAATGGACAGGGAGGCCTGGCGTGCTGTGGTCCATGGGGTCACAATCGGACATGCTCAGCGACTGAACTGAACTGATTGAATGCATGTTTATGGTGGGCTCTAAAATTCCGATGCTCTTGAATTCATGAGGCCCTTCCAGTCCAAACACATGCACCTTGGTGCACTCTGCTCAGAGTGGCTCGTGTTCAGCCCTGTCTTTATTGTCTTTTCCTAGCTCTTCCTTCTTCCCTGTTAGCAACTGAGTGATCATGTTTGGTGTCAGCGAAACACATGGTCTGTTTACTACATTTTCTCTCATCATATTTGAGGATTTATGCTTTACCTCTGTTGGGCTTCCCTTGTGGCTCAGCTGGTAAAGAATCTGCCTGCAATGCGGGAGACCTGTATTTGATCCCTGGGTTGGGAAGATCCTCTGGAGAAAGGACAGCCTACCCACTCCAGTATTCTGGCCTGGAGAATTCCATGGACTGTATAATCTATGGGGTCGCAAATAGTCAGACACGACTGAGCAACTTTCACTACACTCTGTTGGAGTAAGAAGTGGCACCTCACTCCAGTATTCTTGCTTGGAGAATCCCATGGACAGAGGAACCTGGCGGGCTACAGTTCCATGGGGTCACAAAGAGTCAGGCACGACTGAGCCCCTGAGCACGCATGCATACTTTACCTCTGTGGTTTGGAGGAACTAGCAGTGTCTGTGCTGAAAACCACAGAATTGATTTTCTGAGGGGTTAAGTTTTCTCTTTCCTGCCTCTGTTGTAAATTTTCAGCACAGCTGCCTTGTGGTAGATTTCCTTGGACACATGCTTCCTTCTGCATCTAGCACTGAAATAGGCCTGGGGGAAGGCCTGGATAAGAGCCTCGATCCTATGTACAGACGGCTGGCTTCCAGTCCCAGTCATGATACTTTGGGCTGTGTGAC